TTTTTCCAAATAAAATGTTTTGTTATTGATTTGATGAATGGCGTTTATTTCTCTGCTGTGTGCCTTCAAAGGGTTATCAAAGGGTTATCAAAGGGTTATCAAAGGGTTATGTCACATATAGTTCATATCATCTGTTTGAAATCATTGATCTTTGTTGTTTGTTCCTCTTTAAAACAAATAAACAAACTGTCAGTGAGGCTTGACTCTGATCAACTTTAATTTGAAAATCTTGCACTTCCGGTTAAGCAGTCGCTTTCCCGGCTCACTCGGAGTCTTGTTACCATAGCGACGCAGCAGCGGACACAGGAAGCAGGTGAGTTTGTTTTTGTCGGTTAACTTTTTCTTAAAGGTCAGGGGTTGGAGGTCAACTACTGTCTGTTCTTCATCCTCAGCCAGACCGGAAACAAAAAGCAAACGACAAACAACAACAACGACATGTCATCACCTAGGATGGGTGTGGTCAGAGACTCCATGTTGACCAATCCGCTGATGATCAAGGTAAAAACAACATCTGTCTGTGATGATGAAGATGTTGATGAAGATGATGATGATGATAAAGATAATGGTGATGATGATGATGAAGATGGTCCCTCTTCCTGTGTGCAGGCGACTCTCGGTCAGTCCAGGTCCAGATGTTTTTCACTTTCTGGTCCATTTTACTTTTGGAACCAGCAGCAGCTCAAGGCAGAATGGAGGCGTGGCCGAAGGTAAGCCCGCCCTCTGTAAACACGTCTGTCCGAGCTCATACCAACAACGTTACCTACGCAACATGAAACGTCTCCGCCCACCCCTCACTCCGCCCATCCCTCACTCCGCCCATCCCTGGGGGAAGTGATATCATTTGTTTTCTGTGGATTGTTTTCATCTCTGATATTAAACAACTACAACTCCCATGGACCTGTGCCGTGAGCTTTACTGACATGTGGTATCTAGCCTCAGTGCTGTGGCCTGCTGGGAGATGTAGTTTCTGTCTCTGTGCTGTCTCAGTTCTGTCCAGCTGGAGGGTTCAGCCCAGACGAGAAGAGTTGGCTCCTCACAGGGTTGTGGTTCCGGACTTCGTGTCTCTGAACCGAAACGCGGTGAAGGCCGGACTGGTCTCGTCCAGTGAGGTGCGTCAGTACCGGGCCCAGGTGGGGGGGGGCAAGACAAAGCATCCAACATCCAAACAGCAGGAAGGCGGGGCTTCACAGCAGCTGGTAGTTCCTGACATCACAACCAGGTCGGAACATAAAAGAGTGATAATATGTTATTGATCTCTGATTGATGTTGACTGATCCAGGGATGTGTCCATCAGGCCGTCGTCTCCTCTGTCAGACCTCCTCTCTCATCAGTACGCTCGCCGCTGGAAGGACGAGCAGCTGAGCAGGATTCAAACCAGCAACCACCACCAGCAGCTCAGGGTGAGAGAGAGAGAAGCTCGGACGCCCTCTCTGTGTGTGTCTGTGTGTGTTTGTGTGTGTGCACTTGTTTTAGTCACATTATGTGGACGTTCAGATGACAGTCACCAGTTTTCTCACAGCTGCTGTGCACTTCAGGATAATCGTAGATTGTTCCAAAAATAATCTTAGTACTACAGATGAGTCGGAGCCTCCCCGATCAAATGTTTTGATATTTATCAATATATATATATATATATATATATCACATGTATGAACCACCTCTCAGCCACGACTTCATCCATAGTTTATTTTCTCTTTTCTTTCCTCCTCCATGTTAATTTTCCTCTGAGGTAACTTTGATGGTGAGGGTAATGCACCAATAAGTTGTTTGCCAACCATCATAAGCCTTAAAGGAGAAGTTCAGTTTTTTCAACCTGGTCCTTATTTCCAGCATATGGTTTGTAGATCTACTCACCCATAAAGGTTTGGAGTAGCTTGGAGTCCTTCGGACGCTTTTAGATCCTCACGTGATCGGTGTATATCACTACAACGCAAAACTAGCAGCAGCAAACTCCGTGTAAACAAACACAGCTGATCGTCATCTGATCTGCGGCTGCGCGCCTCGGTGACGTCACCCTAGTGAAAGCTCTGGATGTAAACAAAGCAACTTGGACTCACAGGGGACTAGTGCTGGAGATTCATAGTAAATAAAGAGTTTCCCGGCAGATAATGGTTATTTAGAAGCTGTATTGTGGATGCCCCAGTCACTTGTGTTGTATGGATATACGCAGATCGCGTGTGGATCTAAAAGCATCCGAAGGACTTTTAGATTCTTTTAGGTTACTCCAAACCTTTATGGGTGAGTAGATCTACAAACCATATGCTGGAAATCAGGACCAGGTTGAAAATAAACAAACTTCTCCTTTAAACGGCAAGTGTGTGTTCTGAGGTTCTGGCAAAATGGTCGAGTGTTTGTGTTCTGATGACTCTAAGATTCAAAATCAGTGAAATCTGTTTCCCATGTTTTTATAATCAGTTGAAAATCTAGCGTCCAGCAGCCTTTACTGTTTGTTCCGCAGCTTTTGAGCAGGTGAAGTTCGTTCAAGAGATGTCGTGCAGCTGCTCATCACGAAGACAATGACGTCATCAGCTGATGAGGATCATGTGATCCAGCTGAAACAAACACATGAGGAGCCTCAAGTGTGTCTGTGTTTGTGTGTAGATGAAACCAGGTTCTGACACCAGGACCAGTCTTCTGAGGAGGAGCAGACCTCTTCCTGCCACACGACCCCTGTTCAGACTGCAGCACTTCACCCAGGTAACTCCAGAGTGATGTGGACGCCAGGCGTAACCATAGCAACTGTGATGTTTTTCTAAAGAAAACCTTCTCCTCCTTAGGTGCCTCCTGCTGTCGACAGCTTCAGGGACCAGCAGGGGGCAGCAGGCTCCAAGTACTGAACCTGTGGGATCATCTTCACAATAAAACCTGAAATAAAATAAAATGTTGTTGTCTATGTGTCCAGACCTGTAAAGAGATATGTGTTGATGAGAGAGTGGAAGTGGTCCATGTACAAGCTGTCCACTGAGGAGGACCTGGAGGGTCGAACATGGAGCAGATACAGAGCACCTTGATCCTGAGCCGGGTGGGGGGGTCGATCTGTTGAAAGGTTCTAGGTGAGGTTTTTTCATTTGGTTTGTTTTTGGCCTCAAATATTCATGAAAACTAAATCTGTCCATAATTTGTAAATGTCTTAGACATTTTGCTGAGACGCAGAAACCAGGTTGAAAACCCTGGAGCCTGTTCTGATGCTGGTGGGACTCCGAGAGAACGTCTCGTCCAAGATGATGGACAATGTGCTTCAGTCACTTCTGGGCTGTTTATTGTCTCAGGGAGAAGATAGGAGATGATTATTATTATTTAATTATAATAGATTTTCTTTGTTTTAGATTTTTTTTATTGTATTTATTAACCTTGTTCTGTAGTTTTGCATTTGGTGGATGATGAGAGAAAGGTTCTGTTTGTTTCTCGTGATGAACGATAAAACAGAAGAGAGAGCAGGCCTGCCTTCACCAGCGTCCAGCAGTGGAGGGACACAAATAAAACAACTTTGCCAGCAGTTGTGTCGCAATGTCACCAGAGAAGTAACCCGGACTATGAGGGATCTGGAGAGACAGGTAGAAGAACCACAGCGTTTATTTAGCTTCTACAGGAAATCGAGGGCATTTAGACTCCCTCAAGTCCAAACAGTCGGCTGTAGCCAACCTGCTGGGCGAGGTGATAAATGATAAAACTCCCTCTGAGCGGCCGGAGGGCCGTCATCACCTGCTGCCAAAGAAGGGAGACCTACAGGACCTGAAGAACTGGAGTCCGGTCTCTCTGCTGTGCACGGATTACAACATCCTGTCCAAAGCTCTGGCCCTCAGACTGAGGGAAGTAATGGCGTCCATCATCCACCCTGACCAGACTGACTGTGTGCCCGGCAGGCGCAATGGTGACGATGTCACATCGACTGGAGATGTTTTGTCTGGAGATGTTTTGTCTCCAGTTCATTGGCAGAAGAGACTGAACTTATTTCCATAGACCAGGAAAAGGCTGTTGACCGGGTTGAACTCCAGTAGTTATGGCCGACTCTGGCTGCTTTTGGGTTCAACCCAGGATTTATAGCCATGATCCAGGTTTTCTACACTGACATTGTGAGTGTTCTGAAAATAAATGGCGGGTGCTCCGTTTAACATCCAGAGAGGGGTGAGGCAGGGCTGCTCTCTCTCTGGTTGTACTCTCTGCTCCATCAGCTCACGATGGTTCAGGTGTTTCCCCGGTGCAGTCTGTCTTTGAAATGATCACATGATCTCATCGTGCTTGTTAACACACTAAGAGATATTGATGTTTGAATTGACACTGTAAATAACTTGGTTTCACTGGTTTCACTGGTTTCACTGGTTTCACTGGTTCAGGTGAACTGGGTGAAGAGCGAGGCTCTGATGGCTGCAGAGACGCTGAGGGATCAGGTCTGGAAACAGAGAGGACTCAAAGACCTTGGACACTTCCTGGGAGGTGAGACACACAGGAACCAAACTCTCTCTCTCTCTCTACCTCTCTCTCCACCTCTCTCTCTCTCTCC